AACAGAACAGGTGTGACAATGTGCCTTTACTGTTTCCCTAGGGCTACTGTAACAGTCTCTGTAAATTATGACTCAGATATCAATTTTAATAATGCACCACCATTGCTTTCTGCTATTATTCAAATGCTAACTGTGAAGGAACTTGTCAGTTATCAAAGTTATTCCCTGAAAGCAGAACTAAGTCTCAGCACACAAAGCAACCCTGCTGAATACCGCATGGTGGATTATAGCCTTGGACTGATGAGGATGTCTGTCAGTGGCGTGATGGAGCTCTGACAGATCTTTTCAAACTAAACAGGCTCCTAAGGAAGAAGGTAATGTGACTTTTATTTATACTGTACACCTCAGGACATGTTGTACAAACAACAATCTGTTATGAAATGTGTAGTACAGAGAGAACTTAATGACGTTGCTGTTTTCCTTGAATGCAGTGGAAACTTGCTGCAACAGGAGGTAAAAAGCATAAAGTATATCTGCTGATTTGAGGAAGGACCAACTACAGAACTCTCTCATCATACACCAAATCTTAAATCAGAAGGATTCTGGGCCATATTCAGCACTGAACAGGAATCATAATTATTGTACTTCAGTGTTATGAAGGTGCCAGGATTTGTGTTCTATTATAGCTACGTAAGTTTAATCAGTAACCTGTAGACTTTAGTAGCATTTTATGCTGGAGTTCACACAATGCTGATTAAGCCAGAAGCTGGTGTCTGTGGCGACATTCCCGCACTGGACACTGGTAGCGTGTTTTAAACCAAAAATGGTGCATCTACCCTCCAGTGAAAGAGGCCCAGTGAGTGATCATCATTTAGCTTGCCCAGCCATGGTACAAGCCAAGATGTCTGCATTTAATAGCTCCCCACTTCAATTTGCCCATTTTCAAACCGCCTGGCTCCCTGGGTGACCATTCCCTGGAGCTGACAGCAGTGCCATAGCCGGACTATGGGAGGTAACTCCAGAGTTGTCTGAGAATCACTAAGCATGTATTTTAAACGCGAGAGAAGTTTTTTGTTGTGATAGACACATTCATTGTTAGTTTAATTCAGAAATGGGCAGTATTTCTGTTACTTACTTTCGAGTATTTTGTAGCTGGTTTTTGACAGGAATGAAAAAAATCAAATGTAACAAGATACTTTAGTGTGGGTTAATTTTGTATTTTCAAAATACTCAAAATACTTTTAATTTGAAAGTTGCAGTTTTGCTCGCTATCGTGTTAGCAAACAGTTGCCACATCCAGCAGTTATGAAGCAACATTAGCATTCATTGGGAGTTGTGTTTCAGGCCACTGGATAAATATAAGTCCATTCCGTCTCCTTTTAGCTCTGTCAGGTCTTTAGCTGCTACTGTATGTATGCTACACTATGTTCACTAGCTGTTGCTAAACTGGCTGCTGTTTGGTGTTGGGCAGGTGGTATAGTGTGGCTTTTTAGATGTTAGAAGAATACCAAAACAATGAGCTGAAAGGTACTAAAATGCGTGAAAAGAACTGCAGAACTGCGTAATTCTCTCTGGGTAATCCATTTCACTGATGATACAATCTATTGTAACAGCTTTAAGCATCAGAAGTTCACATTTTGTATATTACTATAGTTTTCCTACATCGAGTTCTATTAATATCTAGTGATTTTATTGAACTTTGTCTAACCATAATACAAAAATGCTGGAAAGAACAAACCACATACTGAAGATATTGCTATTGGAAGACCTTTTCAAATAAACAGGTTATAGTTGTAAAAATGTCCCATGGGGCCGTAGAGAAAGGGTCACAAGCAAGGCTGGATAACAATTGATAAATGCAAGCGACTGCCTCAGATCTTTGTCGGTGTGGCAAGTACTTTGTGATAATTTGATTAATTACACATTTATTTGGTAATATGCACCACAAAAGCACAGTGAAACTAAAAGTATACGGACCCTAAGGGGGCTCTTGCATTTTTATCCAATTTCTAGGCCTTGAGTCAAAATTTATTTTTAATACTTGCAATGTCATACAATTCATATTATGTTTACATGGTGCATGTACTTTTGGGCTTAATCAAATGATCCCAAACTCACTGTAATGCAAAAAACCTGGGACATGGTAGTATTCTGGCAATAAGAGTACCGGTTGGTTTCTGGACTCTGAGCAAAATGGGTTGGGAAAACATGGGAGGGGGTGGGCTTATGGCACACATTGGGTAGGTAATTCAGCCCTAGTCACAGGGTTATCTTCGTAACAACTTGAATCTGCTAATTCATATCATATTCAGCCTGAGGGTATAAAACGGAAGCTAATTGTTTTGTAGTTGTTTGATTTCAAGTATAGGGCGACAGGTGTCACTGTCTGCTTACTTATTTCTTTTGTTTCTTTTCATTTTCTTACATGTGTAAGCCTGTTTACTTCCTTGAGGGCTCATCATGGTATTAATAATGTAAAAGGTTGCAGGTCCAACACAATCAGGCTTCATCCTTTAAAGAGATTTAATGTAGCCTACTGTAAATGTCACAAGACCTAAGTAGTAACTATAAACATCAGGAATCAGACTTTGAAAAGCATGAATATGCACAGCAAAGTTTATAAAAATCCATCCATTTGTGTTATTTTAGCTTTTGTCATGGACCGCAGTTAAGGGGAAATATTGACCTCATGGTAATCTACAGGGTCACTCTTTACTATTATTGAAAAACAACCTCTGGCTATCATGAATATGCACAGCAAAGTTTATGACAAACTGCTGAGCAGTTACTGAGATATTAAGATTACCATCCTCAGGTCAAAAATATCCAGTAAATGGTACACTTTATGGTTTTTCATGATCACCATGCATCGCCAATATTCCATCTGTTTTTTGTCAGTGTGCATATTTATGGAACTCAGTGCCTGCCTGCATGTATGTATATTATCTGTACAGCGCATGCAGCTGTTTGCATTTACTCAATGTGTGAGTGTCCTCAGATATTTAAAGACCTTTTGTTTGTGCCTTATTGTCGACACTTTAGACACAGAAAAACAACAGCAGTGCATTCCTTGGTCTGTGTGACTGGGTTGGTTACACCCTGGTCCACTGTGGCTGATCTGGCACTTAAACTGGACATTAACTGGATGCTTGGACATAAAGTCGCTCCCTCCTTGCCTCTGAATGTGTCAAAGTGGTGTCATGACCTTAAACAACACTTTTTTGGTCGATTTTATTTCCCAAAGCTGCACTCTTAGAAATAAGGGTTCAAAAAGGGTTCTTCCTTTTCTGCCCAGAACCATTTGCATCTGACAAACCCTTTTTTGAGGAAAGGGATCTTCACAGATTCTTTGTAAGATTAAGGGTTCAATTAAGAACCATTTTTAAAGAAAGAGTTCTTGAAGGATTGTTGAAAGCATGGGTGTTAAAAGATCCTCACCTTCACATATTCAAATGTTTACCCATGTTTGAAATTTAATTTTTTAATGTAGATGTATCTGGAATCATCTGGGAAATATAGGCGGTCACAACAATATGTTTCTAAGAGCGACATTCAGGTCATCACACATCCTCCTCTACAGAACAGGTGTGATATATCAATAGTGATTATTGGAGAGGAAGTGTAGGTGCTGTGGGATGCGGGTGGGGAAGAACTTTTCATTTTCTTTAAAAGAAATTAGATCTGATAGGAGAATTGAGCTTCATTTTAAATCCAGTGGAAGACTGTAGCTGCCTCTAAAACCAAAGAAGAATAATAATGATTAATTTGGCCTACCTACCCTTGATTATGAGTTTGTTCACACCCTGTCACATCTGTCTACCAGTGTGATTTCCTGACTATCTGTGTGAGTTCATGCTGGTGTGAAGTGACAAGATCCGAAACATCAGAGAATCAAGGTAAGCTATTATAATGTGCCCATACTCCTACTGCTGTCATTGGACCCTGCATTACGTTGTTGTTGATAGATGGCTTATGAATAATATGTAAGTGGACCTTGGCATGATGCTACTTTGTCTTTTTTCTCTTCCCTCTCGATGTCACCAGTGCTGGAGATTACATGAATTAACCTGCGGGGGACAGTCTGATGTACCTGGCTTGTGTCTTATCTGTCATGTTGCCAATTCGATTGGTCCTATATTCATTTTTGATCTGCTCTCCTACACCATGTGGAATTTTGCACGCCAATTGGTTAAGTAATTTGATTTATTGCATACCAGGGAATATGTACCATTTCAAGGAATAGTTTGACATTTTGGGCTTCTTATTTTGTTTTGCAGAAAGATAGATGAGAAGATTGATACAACTTTTATCTTTGGTATTTTATGGTATAGACCTTCTCATGTCTCAGCAACAAAGAAACTTTTTTCCCCTCAAATGTGAAACTATTGCTTTAAGAACCATATGAAGTCATATTGGTTCTGCATTATTACTTTATGTGGTCTTATACAGGAGCATGTTGTCAAAATAAAATTTGAAGATATTGTTTTAGTTTATATTTTGCTCATATGGTGCATATTCCTAAATAAAGTTGTCAGATTGTCTAAAACTAGTAGACAATGGAGCTCATTAGTTCATTTCAGCATAGGAGCACTGGCTGGTTTGATGGGAACTTTATAATATGTTGTCATAAAGGTACATAAACTCCACTTAACAGATTAGCCCAGTCATGACTGAAAGTTGTGTTGCAGTGCTACTAATCTGGGCAAAGTTACTGAAAGTGACAAAACATGCTTAATTGTGCAGTATTTAATTAAACCTAAATCAGCATGCACTGTAATAGCAGCATTAACTGTTTATTTTGAATTTATGATTTTGGGTTGTGGTGTGTTTTGTAATACAGAATTTAGACTAAAAGTCTTATAAATTAATCCAAAGCAATATGGAGTGTGCACAGTGATCTGTAATGATGTGTGCTGCAGTGCTGCCCTCTAGTGAGATTAGGGATGGATGATGCAAATCGCCGCAATCTAGTAACACTGCAGAACATCTACACCCACACATACTTCAGCAGCAACATGTCACAGATGCCTCGAAGTCAGAAACAAACAGAGAGCACTGTAAAAATTTTAAAATTAATTTATTATATGTCTTTGTCATAGAACTCATTACTTTTTGTTCATGGTTAACATACAGCCATTCATATAGAGAACAAATGAGTTTTTTTATTCATCATTTTCAATTAACTTAGAAATTTACACTCTTCTTTGTGACCCCGCAGACGAGAAAAATACCCTTTTTTCAAAAGTATCTTTTCTCATTTGTGTTTTTTTTTCCCCTGAGGGAAAAGGCCCTCTGCCTCTGTCTCCTCCTCCTCTTCCTCTTCTTCTTCATCTCTCTCTCTCTCTCTCTTTCATTTGGATGAACGGATGTTGAGGCAAGGGAACACCTGAACACACTGGCACAATGATGAACACAGGCAAAGGGCTGATGTGGACTGGGAGCTGAACACCGAGCCACAAAACAACACACCCAATCTTTTTCTCTTCCCTCTCTATCACACACACACACACACACACACACACACACACACACACACACACACACACACACACACACACACACACACATTCCATAAGCTACAGTACATAAACACACTCTCTCACACATACACACATTCTCCCGCACACCGATTACAGAGACCCATTAAACCATTTCAAAATAATATCACAAAATAAATGACCCCAGAAACAAAATTAAGCCCCAACGATGATATAAAAAATAAAACTATGTGACCATATACAATCATTATCAGTGCATGGGGACCAAGGGAGGCAGGGGTTTCAGGTTGTGTTATTGTACAATGTCACAATATGTAATAGGGTTTGCTCATATATAACCAATATGTCAAAAATAAAAAGGGAAAAAAATATTTCCTTGCCTTTCATCCTCTCCTGACAGCTTTTGCAAACATCTTACAAACGCCTCAACGACTGGTTTGAGTTTTTAGGTTGGGGTGTTCTTGTATGTTATGTATGTTAGGTGTTTGCACTGGTGAAAAGATGAACCACAATTCTAAGCATGACCACTTTCGACTAATCCCTCCAATCTCATTTAGGTCAGCTGACAAAGCACAGACAAAGTGCTGCAACCAGCTCCCTTTCACAAGGATTTTGTCCAATAAAAACACACCCAAACCGAGTCATCTAACCTACTTTCATTATTCCGCTCACATTGTAAACCTTATTTTCTTTTTTTTTAACACAACAAAGGCTGTGTAAAGAGTGGAGGGACAAATCTGGCAACGTGGCAGGAGGGTGGAGAGGATTAGATTGGATATGGACCTGGCAACCAGCCCTCTTGGTTAATTGGCTGCAGACAGCACTCTGCCCCGGGGACATGAGACCGGGTGGCAGCACCATGCCTAGTGCCAGTCATCTGCCAAGGCTGTATTGTTGATGTGTGTGTGAAAATGTGTGTGTCTGAGCATCATGGTGTCTTTTGTCAGTTAGTCATTTGTCCTTTTTCAAGGACAAGATGGACGGATGGCGGAGGAAGTTGTTTGTGTGATATGCGAGAGGACAAGCAGGATGCCTCCTAGTGTGACGACAGGCCAGTGTGTGTGTGTGTGTGTGTGTGTGTGTGTGTGTGTGTGTGTGTGTGTGTGTGTGTGTGTGGCCAAAGCTTCACTAAGCAGCAGTAATTAGCCAGACAGTCATACTTGTCTTAATCACAGAATTTTTTAGTCTGGACAAACAAGAGGAACATGTTGTAAAAAGGGGTTTTGTAGATTTGTTGTCAATATTTCTTTCCATCAAATTTCTTGGATTAACACTTAGGATTTAAGGTAGCAAGTATCCTTCTTCAAAGTCCACTTAATTTGAAGGTCTGTGCTCACAAAGGCTGTAGTTTTATGGACTTAGGATTCAAAAATATGTTTTTTTAATCAGTGTCCATTCTTTCTCCATTTGTCCGTTCATCAGTCTTGGGCTAATTTTCTGATGCTGCTTAATGAAGCCGTCCCACAACAAACACCAGTGACTGAATCAATGATGAAACCTGGCATTAATAAGCAAAATCATAACCATAACCCTGTTTGAAATACAATACATTGCCTGACTAGCAAACAGTTACATCTTTTTATCAAAATAAAACATGAACAAATAAACAGATACATCCCCCATATATATATATTTATGTACGCATTAAAAAAACAAAACAAAACCACATCCCTCCAATAAGGTGCAATTCATAGTTTTACAGGCAGAAGTACTATATGCATTTCAGCATGCAACTCAAATAAAAAGCTTTTTTTCCAAAAGAGATAATCTTTCTTTTTTCTGTTTGTTTTTTTTTTTGTTGTTGTTTGACATTGTTGTGTATTTGGAGGAAAAAAAACAGGATATCAGTGATAAAAGAGGGAAAAAAACAGAAACACAAAAAAGCATCAAACCAGCACCAGTTTGCTGTCAGACAGACACAGAACATTAAACAAAAGATGGGGGCAAAAATGGCAGTTTCTTTCTGTAAGTTGGGTTACTCTCAGGTCGGGGCTCTGGCCCAAACCGGTTCTAAGTGGCTGAGCAACGACAAAAATGGTTTTTGGTCACACAATGGCAAGCCTTCATAGCGATCACATAACAGCAAGGGCACAAACAGAGCAGCTACAGTGGTCTGACTGTTTGACCAACAGAGGACATGGCCACAATCAGACCACAGTAAAAAGACAGAGGCTGTTCTGTGTGTCTTTGTGTGCGTGTATGTGCGTGCTGTAGTTATCTGTGAGTGTTACACATGCCATGTGTGAAGGTAGGAAAATTATTTAAGAATAAAATGCTAAAACCAAAGGAAAACAAACAACTGTTTAAACATAAAATTATTCAAACAAAAAAGCAACTCATAAATCAAGTGGTTATGTGATGCTGTTAAGGTCATAGAGAAAAGATGATGCCATGGAAACAACAAAACTGTTAAGAGAGAGAAAACAAGATGGCCGCCACAGTATGAAGTCCCCTTTTAGGGCATCAAAGGAGGTAAAAAGACCTGTGAGGTGGAGTGGAAGTCTATTCTAGCAGTAGGCTGAGACAGTGCTTATGAGCTTACACACACACACACACACACACACACACACACACACACACACACACACACACACACACACACACACACACACACACACACACACACACACACACACACACACACACACACACACACACACACACACACACACACACACACACACACACACACACATTCACATACGCACACACACCGCCTTAAAAAGACATTAAATATCAAGCTGCCAAGTGGATGAAGTTACAAAAAAAGTACAAAAACAAAGTTAAATAGAAAAACAGAGGGCCAAAAAAACCCTCCCTCTCTGCTTCTCAGACTTCCACTGAAAACAATATTAAAACTTTTAGAACAAAAGGAAAGACATCGATTGACTTCACACAAAAGCATAAGTGCAAAACAAAACAAAGAGAAAAGGGTGGAGACGATACATGTGGAAAGTCTGTGATTATAACGATCAGTCACTCCCTCTTTCCATCTCCGTCTCTGTTTGTGATTGCGCGGAATTCAAACCCCCTCTGGAGGCTCCCTCTCCCTTTTCCTCACTCTTCCCCTTCCCTTAATTTGCCATTTTCTGACCCCGTCACCCTCTTTTTCTCTGCCTCTGTCTCAGTTCAGGTCGACCGCTCAGGGACAGCAAGTTTCTGAGCATTGCAGTAAGGCTCAAGTTACAAAGTAGATCACGCACACACACACACACACGCGTGCACGCACACACACACACACGCGTGCACGCACACACACACGCACGCATACACACACACACACACGTGCACACACACACACGTGCACGCACACACACACGCACGCACACACACACACAACGTGGTCAAGAGTTAAATAGACACCTTAAAATGATACCCATATGTGATTGTTGCACATCTCATTCTGCAACCATGGGCATTAATCTGCTGCTACAATAGCCTCCAATCTTTTGGGACTTTCCACAAGATTTTTCGGAACCTGGCTGTAGCACTTTTCTCTAACTCAGCCCAAAGAGCATTAATTAATTCATCCCAAAGGTGTTAAATGGGGTTGAGGTCAGAGCTCTGTGCAGGACTGTCAAGTTCTTTCACACTGAACTAAGAAAAACATTTCTTTATAGACATTACTTTGGCCACAGGGGTCTTGTCCTGTTGAAACAGGAAAGGACCCTCCCCAAACTGTTACCACAAAGTTAGAAGCACTCTAAAATATCTCTGTGTGCTGCAGCATTAAAGACCTTGAAAACATATGTTCACAATCAGCTTCTTACTATGAATGATGGGATCCTACATGAACACACATCTGAGATTTGGTTATTTAACAGTTATGGTTTTTTTTTCTTTTCCCCCCACTGGTTTGAAGTAGAAACAGTTGAATCAGAACTTGATGAATGTCAGTGGGAGTTTTGGTCACTGTCAGTCAAATCTGACCATACCACACTCACACAGTCCTAATGAAGCACATTAAGAGTTGTTCACCTACCAGCACCTCCACGGCTAATTAATTACCACATTGTATCTTGTTTAATCTTTTCTACAAAAGGTTAAAACCTGGCCAACACCAGCAACTTTCTGGGATATTACCCAACATATTTAACTATTCCTTCAAATTCTTAATAAATAATACCTTTTTGAAAGATTTTGATTGTTGCTTATTTAGTCAAAAATAATTAATAATACAGAGAAATACTTTTATTTTTTTCAGGGGCTTTAGTATTTCCCACAGATGGAGACAAGGTGTCTTGCATGTCTGCATACTTTTGACCAAATAGAGTAATCTCACACACCAACACTCATCCCGTCCCTCCAGTTTCTGACGGCATTTGATCCGCAGCCAGGTGTCGGCTTGCCTGCATGGCCAGTTTTTCATGCGCGTATGTGTCACTGTGTCCATCTGTCTCAGCAGCGTCACACTGACTTTTATCTTTTTGATCTGCGGTGTCACAACATATGGACTCCTGGACCAGTCTCATCCTGTACCCGCCCCAAAGCCAACAATCTGTCCTGAAACACATTCAGACGTGTTATGGGTCCTGACTCACAAACACACACCTCTCCTATTTTGCTGTTATAAATACCAGACACATTCATCAGAAAAAAACGAGGAGGAGCTCCCCAGTCATCTTCCCAAATGGTTCCGCTATTTAATATTCAACACTGCTTCTAAACTGCTGTTAATTTGATCTTTTTCTTTGCTAAATTGGAGCCTGCTTCAATGTGTGATAGGGCATATTATTGTCCATGCAACTTTTAGACAAGTTGGCTGCTCTACTGAACAGAACTGGGCCGCGCCCAACTTATTTACTCATTATCATAAATAGACCCACATACAAAAGGAAGGTTTTAGTTCCCAGTGGAAGTATCCAACATTGTGAGGCTTCCTGTTTTTCAAGGGTTAGTTCAACCAAATATCACCAGTGGTATCTAGCCGTGCAGATAGGTTTGGTTTGATTTAATCAGGTTTTTTTTCCTGCACCCGAATAAAAGTGAAAACAACATCTTTTATGATTTTTGCAATTTTGCAAAATAACCTAAAAAAACAGCAACATCTCTTCGTAGGAACGTCTCCATTACTATGAATATCAGAAGTTATCATAGAGACTATTTCTTTGGTAGAAAGTATTTCCAAGTAAAATACACAAAATATGGAATAAATTCCATTTCCTTCAAATGTTTAGGGGTGGCGTCAGAAATCGGACAGATGGTTATCATAAACTCTTGGCAGCTAATACCAAACCTGGATACTGTAGAATTAGAGTGAAGCGTTTTGTAATTTGGTGAACTGACATCTATAATACTATTTATTGGTTTCAGTCAAATACTAACAAATGCAGCCCTGAAGTCCAACCAAGCACAAAAAAGTAGGTTATAAGGGTGCACTTGTTTTGGGCAATGCTTGTGGTTAAGTAACACCAAGTACTTTCCAATCAGTGGTGACACATCGTTGCAGCTGTCGGAGTTAATGTGATCGCTTAGCTTGTGGAATGTAAATGCTTTCCATTGCTTGCACAAAGAGAATAATAACATGTTTACAGCCAAGATGACAACAGCAGCAGCTTTGTGTTACTGTGGCCTGACCGGAGGCGTGTGCTGGTTCCTATTTCAAAATCGCATTTTCAAGAACTTAATTTCTTGATTTTAAGCAGTGAGAATATAAAGCAATAGCTTATTGCTTGTTTGTGTACGCATACATTTAAATTTCTTACATTTATTTGAAGCATTTAGTGTGATTCAGCTACAGTGTTCCATAAATGAAGTTCTTCACAGGTTTAAACCTTAAAATATACAAGATGAGGAGTCAAAACTAAGGAACTTTTGTATACCAAGACAATACACTTTTCTGTACTCTTCGAAAGTTTTCCACACATTCCTGACCCATGTATGGGCCACAAAGAGAAAGTAAAAGAAAGAAAGCAAGTAAAATGACCCTCTTTTCTCTGAACCCCCACACCCTCCTCCTTGATTTCCGGCCTGCCTGTCGCTAATGTTTCTTGGAAAAGATCAATCGGTGGGAGCCACAGGGCTGGCGGGGGGCCAGAGCCGTGAAGACATGTAAGCCCTGTAGACAGGCAGCCAGCCGCTCTGCAAGCACAACAACAGATGGGGGGTGATTGTGGTGGTGGTGGGGCAACACAGCCCTGGAGACACACATCTGTACGGGATACACACACGTGCTGAATGCTACAAAACATGTGTTGATGGTTAGTGTGCGTGCTGAAAAGAGGGTTGGACCAGTTGAGAGGGCTGATGGGGATCATTTTAGTCTGACGTTGCTGATTTTGGGGATGATATTCTGTGTCTAGTCTTGGGATATATGAAAGGGGCGCTTCACCAATTTTACGCATACACAGTTTACCTATGTGGTGAGTCCTACTCAGCCTGAGAAAATTGTTCTTTGTGTTCTTGGGCTCAGAGTTTATAAATGTATTCGATTTCTAACAGAAAGCCGGTGTTATAAACTGGTGGCATGGAGTCTGACAGACTTGAACATTTACCAGGCAGGGAAGGTGTAGCAAAGAGATGCAATAGAGTTGCATTATGGGAAGGATTTTTGGAGGACATTTTGACCTCTGCTGCACCAATTCTTCTGCGTTTGTATTTCAATGCATCTTGCGAGTCCTTCAAATTTATGCAAATATAGTACCAAATCACTAGAGTGCCCTTTAATGCCTTTAGCTACATAAATCATGTGCAAAAACACATGAACAACTCAATAAATTGATCATTTTAAGGAGAATATGTTTAAGCAAAAGTCAGGAAAAACTGACTGAACTACTTACTGACAGTGGCCTGATATACTAAAGTATATGAAGACAACCTGCACTGAGAAAAATGTAAATATTTCTTTAGAAAACATCCTCTGACAGCACTTACATCCTCAGCTTAGACCACTCCAGAACATCAACCTTCCCAATGGGTCCAAGTTTGTTTACTGTTGCTAATATCAATAACTGAAAGGAAATAAAGATGGCGCCCAGCTGTTTCCTAGCAACGCAATTCTAAACATGTCTGCAGTGGCATCGCTCCATCTTGGTTACAGTTTTGCCTTTTACAGTTCATTTATTCGCTCTGTCCCAAACACCTGAAGCAAGCAGCAATGTTCATTGCAGATTATTTGTTTGCGGAGAGTCTGAGAAAACCTGATTAAAAAGGTTAAAAGTCAGTATCTTCAGTAAACGTTTGACAAAAGGTTCAAATACTGTAAATAAGGTGAAATTCTCACAGTATGTTGTGGTTACAGGCTGCTCATTTCCTTTCCCATATGTTATTGCTCTATTGATTTTATGATGGATCATGAGAAAAATGACACCAGGCACTCTGACACTGTCCAGTAACTTAAATGTCACAGGTTTGTTTAAGTCCTATAACATCTGCTGAGTGGCCACAGTCTGCCAAAGTGCCCTTGAGCAAGACACAGCCCCTCCTTTTTGGATATCAAACACTTTAAATCCATTATAAGCCCAGTGAGGCGGTGTACACACACCGCTTCAATTGTTCAGCATCACAGACTCGTTTTCACTTTAACTGTCACTGGTTTATAGATTTCCTTTTACAGGGATGATGAGCTGCTCCCTTCATTTGGACGGTTTTCATTTCATCTCCGCGATGACTTTTGCCTCATCGAAGTGAAAAATCAAAGCCGTTCGGTCAAGCTTATTACCTCCCTCCTCTCCACGTGTCACAACCACACTTCATCCAATAAGACTGTCACTGAGAACAGAGGTGGAGGGATTATTTCCGAAATGTCTCTTTTTGGATTTGAGTCTCCATTCATCAAGCCTACGCTTTGTTTGAAACAGGGCTCTCCCTTTATTTTATTCTTTTCTTCTCTTTGCTTAGTGCAAAAAATATGGCCCACTCATGTTTTCTAAGTATTTTTCTGTCTACCTTTTCTGCTCCTCATGCAAATTGTCTGCTTGCTGTGATGAGTCAGCCAAATAAATGAAAAACAATAACAAACAGAGAGAGGTGTGTGCTGGTTATTGGTGTACATACTGCGTGTGTGTGTGTGTGTCACTAGTCTCAGCTCGGCAGTGCTGTGACATTTACCGAAAACGACTAAGCAATGAGAGGTTTTGCCATTTTTTACTCAGGTCAGGTTGTAAAACAGTTTTGTTATTTCTCCGATTATCCTGCCTCAGCTCTCCCTCACCTCTTATCCTCTTGGTTTCCTCTATTGGTTGATGACCTCAGGCTGTTAGAGATCTCAGGAATTCATCAAGAGGATCGTTGCCATGGCAATAACAGGGCAAGAGGCCGAGTGAAGTAACCCTGGCTTGTCTTTCAGCATGCTAGACACCCTTATCTGGCATGAGTCACTATCTGTCGCACACACATAAATTATTTTAAAAGTGCATACATACAGTTATGCAAACACACACACACGCACAGTTCACCAGATGTGCAGCCTGTTTGCAGAGGGCTGAGAGTTGGGAGTTAACTCTGGTTAAATGCCTCTTGGCAGGGCTTAAACACACACCCCAACCCCAGATAGGATTGAACAGACACTCCTGTGGTCACATTTCTGAGATGACGTTTAGCTTTAGAGCACAAACTTCTTGTCTTTTGCATGTGGTGGCGTGTAAATGAGAGGATGGACTTTTTCACCAGACAGACGGAAAGAGTCTGCACATGGTTGTGGTTTAAGGCATTGAAGTCAGAGGCAAGTGTTGTTTGTTTTTGGTACCATGAAATTAGATACTTTGATCAGTGCCATGCCAAGTGCTGACACCATAAAACAGTCATCAATGCTATTTTTGCTATTTTATTACATTAATTCAGGAGGGGTTGTTCTGTAACATTTTTTAAACTTCCACAGCAACAAAACTGCCCAAAAAAGAGCAGATAAAACAAAGCGATTTAATCTAAACTGGTCCACAAGCATCCATTTCAGATAACTGCCTGAGTTCCTGATTTAACATCTCTAAAATATGACTCAAGTTGCCCACCTCCCTTTCAAATTCTCATTCTGCTTCATTTTTGTTCCATCAATCATTACCTTTTCAAAAGGCAGAAAATCTAATTTAGCATAAGAAGCATCACGTTCAGTATTGTTGTTGTCTCCTCCTATCGTCTAATGTCAAATCCTATTTAAAGCTCGTTTCTCTGCTGCCCCTCTAGGGTTGGATGGGAGTTTGGCTCCCAACACCAAACCCCTAACAGCTGCTACCGCAGACTGTGCTGCCATGGAGGCACCAGCACAGACCCGACACAACTGTCAGCGGCCTAATCTGCTTTTCCCACCATGAGCTCACGGTCATGAAGAGCCAGCATGGTGGTGGACTGATATACTCACACTACTTTTGCAAAAATCTCAGCTTTGTTACTGGTTGTGTCTCTAACCTGAGGCATTCAGGGTACATTTAAGGGTTTAGGGTCTAAATGATAAGGGGGGTAGGTTGTAGTTTATGGTCTGACTCAAGGACACTTTAAGCAAGGTGAAACAAGTAAAAGATTTCAAGCATTTGTATTGAGACATTCTGTGGCAGTCTTGTTTCCAAGTGAAAATAAAGCTACAACATCAAATGTGTGCCTTCAGGTTTTTTGTCCCATCCTCACCCCTCAGCAGCTTAAATAGTATCTGTAAAGCCCAGAAAGGCACTGAAGAAGCAGATGGTGGATGCAGTCATCTACAATTAAAAGAAAAAAATCAATGAGTTTACTGTTGTTGATTGGTATTTGTATGCTGCATGTTTAGCTTCTTTCTTTTCTTAACTGCTCATTGTTAACATTGTTGCTATGATTCCCTTGCCCTCGACAAGAACATAACCCAGTACGCCGCTGGCCTCAGCCCACATCACACACACCCCACAGCTCACCAAATTGTCCACAACATCACCAACTTCTTCAACATTCCATGCGGGGTGGGGATTTAAGCATGTAGCCACACCACGGCAGGGATGTGAGAAGGCAAGAGGCATGAGTGCTCATGCCTAAATGTTCAGATCCTAGTGATCTGTGGCCACAGGAGAAGTATCACCATGGTAACGGGTGCCCTGTCCTGTCCTGTAGAGACAGGGGCAGAGAAATGAGGCAGAGAGAGGATAAATACACTCCTATTTACGTTTTCTTGTGAGGATTAAAAGGAAACCGATACACACCCAAAATGGAGTGTGAGAGCCAGTGTTTGTGTGTGTGTGTGTGTGTGTGTGTGTGTGTGTGTGTGTGCATGGGTTTGGGTGTAGGAAAGTTAGAGGAAGAGTTGGAGATTCCTCTAACTTTTTTTGACAGAGAGGGGGATGTGTAGAGACTGAGAGAATATAAAAAATTTGCCTTGTTAATGAGGATTAAGGAAACCAACACCAAAGAGGGGGAAAAAAAGACACTTAGCAGCATAAAAAGAGAAAAAAGATGACAGGAACAGTCCTTTTCTGAGAGTTGGTGATTGACAACTGAGGAGAAAGAGGACTATTTATCCGAGGGGCCCTATAGTCGGCGTTGACCTCGTCTGATCGCTGCAGCTCCTAGCCTGATGTGAACCCACCCACTCATCTTAACAACATCCATCCCATTTCCTTTTTCACATACTTTAGTTTCCAAGGAAACAAAGTCATCTCAGCTGCTGGATAGACAGAGAAACCCAACTGAAGGGTGATCTTTCCCTAACTGGTCTCGATTGTTCTCATCGGACAAACAATAACGGCAGGTTTCATCTGTCTCGGATGCCATCGACAGAGCATGATTTATTCAGAGCTGTCTGTAAGCTCTGAGGGACACACACATTCTGCACACTCATCCCTGCAACACTCGTACATCAGCAGATGTTGTGGGAAAAGGAACGTTGAAAGAGCCTCCTTTTTTCCCTTCTCATCACCACTCTCTTCCTCCCTCATTATTCTGTTCTTTCCTCCTTTCTGTCTCGCTTGCACTGTTTTCCCATCTCGCTCTTTCTTCCCCGATTATTCTTTCTCACTTTCAGTTTCCTCTCACTGATCTTGTCCTCTGTTCACAGCCCAAACCTTGCAATATGATACAGAGACAGAACACACACACTTTCTTTTACAAACACACATACAGGTCTAAGGTGCATGTGGATGAGTGTGAGCACACGAATGAGTTCTCCATCGAGTCATTCCTTTTCATTTGGCAGTGGGTACTCCAGCGGGGTTTAAATATGATTCATAATTTTCTACTGAGACCCAAGAATAATGTAAGATCTGTGTGTATGTTTCTGAAGGGAGGTCACCAAATATGACAGGAAGACATCTGATGGTGGAGAGTGAAGCAGGAACATCAGTCTGTAAACTTTAGTAAACACAGACAGAAACAAAAGACACTCCTTCACTTCCAAGTTTGTCTCCACAGGTTTCACACGGCGACAAAATATCCCTCTCTTTACTTCGAAGCGGCCCCTTGCTCTCAGCAGGCATATTGGCTCGGGTTAAGAAAAGGAGGACAGGGCCGGGGTGACAAAAAGACAGATAGCTTGGCTTCTTCCCCAAAAAGGGAGGAATGAAGAAATCTATGATTCTGTTTATCCAGTGGTTGTATCCTCTCAATGATCCGTAAATTCATGATGGATGTGATTCAGTGTTCCCTTTTTTACCCCAAAATAATGATTTTTAAGAGATTTTAAATCCCTGCAACATCAGTGCTGCCTGGTGGAGATACATGTAGTATCGCTTCAATAAAAGATGTAGTTCATCAGTACAGTTCCGCCCCCGAAACTCAGTGCTGAGAGCCTCACTCAGGCCCTACTAGTTATTTCACCTTTTTTGTCTTAGCTGAACTCCTAGCCCTCACTCAGTCTGGAGGCTTTGTTGTAAGGGTTCTCCAGGAGGTAGCGGTACCTGTCATAGTGCTCTAGCATGTACTTAGGGGCGTACATGTGTTCTTTGGGGTCTACAGGGGGATATTCCTGCAGGGAGCCATCGAACCAGCCCCCGGTCCTGATCAGATCGCGGATGTAGTTGAGGTCACGCTTGTCCTCATAGTCGCCCCACCGCGGGAAGTCTCCGTTCTGCGCTGACACCAGCTTGAAGTAGATCCCCTCGGGCGTGAAGCACCAGGAGCAGTGCCACCCGGCGAAGTGGAAGGGGCTGCCCACTGACCACTGCACCAGGATGTGGCCTGTGTCGTTCTCATACTTACGGAAACCCGGCATGGTGTAGTATTCGCGACGACGGAGCTTTATACCATCGCCATCGTAGACATCGCGGAACATCCCCACCGTGCAACCTGACACCACCTCTAGAGAGCCAAACTGCTTCCAGAAAAATCCATACAGTGACTGGTGTGTAGGGAAACAAGAGAAAAAAAACTGAATTATAAACAGATATAATCAAATATGCTTAATTTGCTCTAAAAAATTAATGCATGACACAATCATCCCACAGTCTTCCTGGTGTAAAACATATGACCGACCACACACACACACACACACACAAGCTGACATATTGCTGTTACCTTGCGCATGTGGATGGCAAAAGGCTCTGTCCAGCCATCAAACAGCTTAAGGAAAAGGAGGCCTTCATGTGCCGGGATTTCATCTGCGTCATTAATAACAAAGACGTCATCCGATCTTGCGCCTACAACCCTGGACATCCCATTGTGTGTCAGGAAGGTACGCAAGTAGTCATCAGCGATCCAGCCATCCTGCCGACCACCTTCTGGGAAGTGGTCGAGGAACACGTACAGGATTTTGTGACGTATGTAGTCGTATGTACCATTGAGGAGGAGCCGCAGGAAACTGGGGAAATTACAAATTCCATTTAGTGGATTATTTTATCCAAAGAAACTTATATTGCCATGAAATTGTGTGCTGTTATATAGTTACACCACAGCTAACTATTTTTCAAAGTTGTTGTGTTTAGATCTTCAGATTAATTTTACCTACCATTCCAGGAAGCCCTTTGTTTCCAGGCTTTTACAGATGGTATATACATTTGTTAGTTCACTCTCAAAACTTGCTGGAGTTACAGATTTTGAGTTTGTAACATTTTAAATATCTGCTTTGAACATTCAAACCATTCCAGGTAGGAAACCCATTTGTTGAACTACACTAATCCATGCCTTTTGGTGTAAAACGCTGTAAATGTAACTGTATTCCTTTACAAAAAAACACCATAGGCTATCTTTATAATGCATTTTCGTGCAACAATAAAAAAAAAGGCTATCAAACATTAAAGGATACTTGATGTTCACAGTAATGAATTACTCAACTCAAGCAATTTTCAAAAGCCTGCTTATATATTTTTATACTATAGGGAACAGAATGGAATCCAAAGCTGCCGGAAGAGTAAGAAAACTTATTCTAACTAACTTATTATTATGATTGGAAAAATGTTGCAGCACAGAACAACAGGCAACAAAACGTCCTTGTTTGACAAATGATGCCTTTCAGTAGGAAAACCCACTGTCCATACACGACACTGTTCGGAGGAACAACTCAATTAACCTGTTGAAATGCATAGCAAAAGAGGTTGTTTACTGAATGTAGCCGCTTTCATGCAGTGTCACATCCTATGATTGAACACACCAATCTCTCCCTCCAAGGCTGCACGCAGAGTCAATCATGTTGCTCTTGTCATAATCTGCTGTAAAATTGCTCCCGAGGCATTACATGTTGTTGCCAAAGGAACTTCACTGTAATTTTTATTCAGCACCCTGATACTCATGAAGCATGAAGGTTGGCTGTAAACAAAGACCGTAAGCTGTAAACAGTAACTACCCAATGCACTGGCAGTGACACAACTTGGCAAAAACATATGCCCCTGTTGATTACACAGTTTGCTTACATACACCTTGATCTTAACGGTATGGCTTGTATAATCTCCACACACACACACACAAAAAAAAAAAATTGTGTCTTACGTCAGAGGCCGTTTCTCTCCATAGGCAGTAAAGTTTGATTCACAAACGAGGAACAGATCAACTGCTTGGGCAAGCTCACGAAAGCGTACATGCAGCAGGTCAAACTCGTGGTTAACGTTGATGGCATTGATGACCCTCCGCGGGGTCTCTCTGGGCGTCAGCCGCTCCTTGGTAGGCAGATTGGAGTGATACACCATGGTGGGAACCCCACAGTAAGGTCCGTGCCATCCCGGCCGGCACACACACTTGACCAGCCGCTTCCCGTTGCCCCTCGCCCTGGCCTTGGCTTTTGGAGCTATGGAGGGCTGCTGCTGGACCTCCAGAGGTTTCCGTTGCCCAGCAGCCCCGGCTCCATTGGCCACAGCCCCCCCGGATTTCCCAGAGTACTCCTTTGGGGTAGCTACCTCTGTCCCCTGCCTGAAGCAAAGGGCTCCAGCTTTGGTTCGGACAAAGTAAGGGGTTTTGTCATCTTGAAGCTGGTGAGTGCGAATGTGGATGTCTCCCATGGATTCTAAGGGATCTGGAAATTTGTCCTTGCGTAACACCACCCGGTGCTCTTTTCGCAGCGATGGGACCTCTGGGAGGTCAGGCCCAGCAGGTTGGGCTTGGTGGCTCGGGTTCCTCGGCTTTAAGTGGTCTTCTGCTCTTTCCTGGAGAGGAAAGAAAAAAATAGAGGAGATTAAGGCAACATCCATTTAAAATTAAAACAAACTGCTCCAATGGTTCATATAAGTTCTCATTTAGAAAAAGTTTATGTGATGCTGTTTTGGTTGGTACAAGTTGCTTTGGTACTGTCAGATGTGCTCTTGGCACTTTGAGAGAAATTTGAAAGCTGATGAGACCAAAAAAAAAAAACCCAATGACAGTGCCAATGATATTGCATCCCAAGCATCTCACTAAAATCTGAGCCACCCTGTTCAAAACTGTTTAATAAATAATTTGTTTCAGCAGTATGTATTGCAGGGTTGTTGTATTGCACTTTTTGTGGTCACTTAATATACAAAGTGTTAAAGTAAAAGTTTATTGATCTCACCTCATTCGCACTGTCTCCCCGCTGGTTTTCTTCTGGTTTCTCCCAAGGGTGAGGGGGCGCTGGCTCCTCCCTCAACTTCATCTCGAGTCCTGCGCTGCCAATGATTCCAAGGCCTCCAACAGCAACCCCCCCAATCCCCAGATTCATCCCTCCTCCTCCCCCCTCCTTCTCCTCCCATAGCACCCGCCACAGCTCTAGCTTTGCTGTCCGACTGACGGAGAACAGGTAGAGGAGGGGCCTCTTCAGGGGAGGCGGGGCTGAGTGGGGTGGTGGCCACTCCTTTCTCCCTCCAGAAGAATCCGGTGACCATGATGAAGGATTTGATGTTGGGGTACGGGGCGGAGAGCTCACGCAGCAGAGAGACGTAGTGGAGGGCCTTGTAGTAGTGGAGGAAGGAGATGACGCACAGGCCCACCGTGCACAGCAAGAACACCCTGTGCCGCCGCATTTTCATCCTGGAAAGAGAGCATGAAGAAAATGAAGAAACATGAGTCTGACTGAAAACTTTAGAAAACATTTTCTGTTTTGGAATAATCTCTTTATTCCCATCTTCACCTCTGTGGGCAAACCACAATTAACTTTAAGTTTAGTAATAGCCTTGGGGTTGTTAAAAAGGAACAAAACCCAGGAGCAATAGCCCAAATAACAGCAGAAAAATGGTAGCCTCAAGTGGATGGAGTCCAATAATATTGGATGAGTGTGCCAATATTCAGTTTTTCCAAACACTTTGGTTTTCTACTAGTTAAGGTGTCGTAAAAAGACTTGTTCAAAGGAAAGCAGTTAGGAACTATTAAGATTTTAAGTGTTTTTTAGAAGCAAAGTAGGTTGGGGATCTAGGTTCTTTGTTATTTATAAAAAGATAAGGATTTACATTGACTTGATTATGGATGATTTGAGCCTGAATTTTCAGGTCACAAAGTTGGACTAAAAGAAAAACAAAATTTTAGACAGTAAAAACAAGTATATTTTCATATCAACAATGTTAAGATTAAAGCTCTCCTCAGCCTTATTATTAGTATACAATTACTTTTTAGCGGCTTTCATTCTAGCCATTATTCATACTCTGTTTGTCCCAATAAATTTAAACCAGCAATTCAGTTTAGCATAAGCTTTCAACAAACCTTAAAAGTACTCCACATCTTTCATACACTATTGATAATTTTGAACTTTTACCCTAAACAGCCAGTAATGCTGTTTGGGGTCAGCCTTTCAACATCCTGCATTCACACCTGCAATTTCTTCCAAAACTGCCTTCACTACTTCAATCTAAATTGCTGAAGTATTTGTTCCTATAAGCACAATTGGCCACACAGAAAATCAAAGGCCCGTTTGTGGCAGTGCTATGGCCTGGCTCCGTCCAGGGAGCTATATATAATATATGCTGATGATCATGTTGATTAAATTATCTTATTTCATGTCCACCCTGTAGCTTTTTATTAAGACGGATAGGACAGAAGAAAAGAGTGAAACATATAGGGAACTGAAAGAAGAGAAAAATCAACACTGTCACTGCATCATTTTCATACTGAGTTTTAGCTTCTCATGGAGGACTAAAATGTCATAAAATGTACTCCTTATTAAGGGGTGATGATAATGTTTAAAAATACAAGGTGTATGTAAAATCTGCCTAATCCATTTCACCTACATTTTTCTCTTTGTTACAATAAAAATGGACTTAAATAGAGCATACAAGTGATCTGAAAAGATCTTAATGTGAGCATCTGTCTTGGCTTTTGAGTGGGATTTTCTTTTTAGCCAAGCACAGCCAGTGCGGTCAAGGAATAGGGACACTCAATGCTTACGCAGCAAGATTTATTATTGCACTCTAACCCATCTCTAAAAAATGTTGGACATCTGAACACATTAAGCATGCAATGTGCAGGGGAAATGAAACACAAAACACTAAGGTAAGGGGGGGAAAAAAAGAGCCAACTCTGCCAGTGACCTCCCAGCAATGCATCGCATGAATCTGAAGAGCTTTTTAGCTCTCCCCCGCCCTCCAAGGGTCTCCACTACTGGATATGAAACGAGAGGCGGAGAGGGAAGAGGAGTGTGAAGAAGAGTAGGGGAGGAGTGAGGTCCAGCTGAAGATGGGGGAGGACAAAGAGGAAGAGGGGGAGAGGATGGGAGATGGTGGTGTGGAGAGATGTGATCCAGTGGTGGGAAGAGAGGAATGAATGAGGCATGAGTCCAGAGCAGCGAATGTCAGGGCAGAGATGAGAAGAGAGGATGGACACAGATTTCTGTGAGGATGAAGCATTTTACATTCATGTGCTGCATTAAGTGCAGTGTGAGACTAAACCATTGGCTCAAAAAGGTTCATGTTAACAGCTTAACCGGAGTGGAATCATGTCAGTCTGTCCTACAATTTGAACTATGAAAAATGGACAAGTAAGTTTCAAGTCTTGGTCCCAAGCCAAGTTCCAGGTAAAGATCAAATTAAGTCCTAAAATGTGTCTTTCAAACAAATGCTGTCTGCTGATCTGCACTGCCAATCATACATTTTCCTCTTGTTTGCAAAGCCTGGTTGGCTGTTGTCAGACTGCTTCAAAGTGTAGCTGTAGTCAGAAAAAGACATTATGACATAACTTTTGGGGGATATCAAATCAATCTTTTTTTGATTTTGTCAAGTTGTGTCTAAAGTCACCAGATTTGTGACTGACCCAAGTCCCAAGTCATGTATCTGAAATGTACATATGGAAATATGCAACCATCTGAGATACTATACTGGTTTATCAAAATATACATGAAGTAAACATAATACCTCAGTTGATATAAACACAATCATACATGGAAGAGATTGGAAGAGAGAAGAGGTGACGGGAGCAGATGGGAGAAAGGAAAAATAAGTCAAAGGAAGTGATGAGGTGGAAGCTGGTGGTGTTTGGTGTATTACTGAAGCACTGTGCCACCTCATCTTCCACTGCCACATCCTCTATGCAACTCTTTCAATTCCTCACTATTATCTGTCATCTTTAATTCCCCCTCACATTCGCTCCCTCCTTTCACTCCACTCTTCTCTGTCTCCCACACAGCTCGCCATAAAAGACGAAGAGGCGGAAGTGAGGGGAGAATAAAAGACTCATCTCTCTTTCTCCATCAATACACAGAGAAACTGAGAGAGTAAAGCAAAAGTGGCTTTATTATTTTTAAAAATGCACAGATGCTGCATGTCAGATTCGGGGATGACTTGCAGGGTCAGGTACAGAACTCTGTACTTTTAAGACGGAACTATGTCGGTACAACAGCGTACCGATTCACGTTAAATAAATCGGTGCGACATTTTGGTATCTGAGAGCTTGTCTGGGTGAGAGAGTAGAGTATAGAGAAAAAGAGAGAGAGCAAGACTAAAGTGAGGTTGCCCCTGCAGCTTGTTCAAGTCACAGTGAGTAAGGGCACGCAGGCAGTCTAATGCAAAACGCAAAAGTTGGCCAGGGCAACATGTTTTCCCAGAAGAAACATCTATCTTAAACCCAAAATATATCTAAAAGTTGAAGAGTGGAGCGTGACTAGCTAGACTAGATAGCCTGAAAGCAAAGAACCCTGCAGCTGCCACAACGTAAGCCTGTCTGCAACGAGTGCAATGTTTGACGTCAGTACTTTAACTCAGGCATCGACCACTTCGTCAACATCTTCAGGTAATTAATTAGCTCTTTGCATAAGTTGTTGCTGGCAATAACAGGCCGGTTTACAGTTTTACTAGTGTCAGTCACAGGTGTGTCGTCGCACTGACCGTGAGACTCAGGTAACTGATTACAGGCTCTCATGTCACTCGTCTACTCCTGTCGCACACAGTTCTCACGCAGTTGAATACACATTTTCAACTGATAACAGCACCAAAAGAAGACACAGAGTGCACTGACGGACTTGAGTCCGTCCCACTACTCTCACACCATGTGAGTGAGTTACAATGGTCACTCTGTCTCTGTCGCTCTGAAACTTTCTACTGATTCCCAGTAATATGCTATTATTAGTCTATGTAAAATCATGAATGTAATTGTGAATTACATACTACTTAAGAAATATTACAGTATGCAAGTGGTAGGAAGTTTGGACTTTTTACAACTGAAATTACATTTTTGTTATTAGAGAGAAAGTAAGGTACCGTTGGGTACCGGTACCAAATTCCAGGGGTATCATTCAAATGTGAACAGTACCCAGAAGGAGAACCCAAGAGAATAGTGCACAAAAATATTCTTATTACTTATAATAACACAACAATAACTAAGTCACTACAAGTAACAAACCATCTATCTATCTACAATCCACTATCTTTAAACATACATAAATACATAAAAAGGAAAAAAACATTTTCATTTACCACTGAAAACATTTTGAATGTAGAGATATCCCAGAAATGGAAAATGGAAAAAAGGGGGATCATTTACCACAAAAGTCACTTATTCATCACCAATCCACACATCCCATCACCAATCCATATACAAAAGCACTTACAACCAGAGTAACCGTAGGCATCGTGCGGCTGTTTTCTGCAGATTCAGGGATTCCCAGGTACCTCTAAGCCAAGACATGACTGTAGAAATTATTCCAATGTGCCCATGTCACCAGTCGTTGCCAGTGTACTGTTGCAACCTTCCTCTCCCCTGCGATGCTGCCTGTTAGATAATGCACAGGGTGAAGTTTTAAAAGTCAAACACAGTGTCCGCATACCTAGTTATTGTTTACGCCAGGCATCATGTGTGTGAAATCTGGAATTACCCAATTCTTTAAATTATGGCTAAAGAACAATTTTGAGGTCATGACCTTTGATCTTTGACTATGACCAATTCAATGTCTGACCAATTATGAATATATGGTCACAATATCCTCTTCTGAGTTATGGTGTGAAAAAGGCCAAAAGGGTGTTTTTTCAGGACATTATGATGTCAAAGTAAAGTTGACCTTTGACGTTTTAGATAAACAATGTCATCACTTCATCAATGTATCCAAATAAACATGTGTGTGAAATGTTGTCATAATTACTGCATCAATTCTTGAGTTATGACCAAAAACATGTTTTGTGAGGTCACAGTGACGTTGACCTTTGACCACCAAGTACAGCATCATCATTATCATCATTAGTTCGTCCTCGAGTCCAAGCGGACGTTTGTGCCAAGAAATGAAAAATAAAAACATAATGCCTCCGGCCATGGCTATTGTCAGCAAAGAAATGATAGCACCAGTTAAAGGTTGAATTTCTGCTGAGTGACAGAGAGCTCAAAGGGTTAATCCAGTGATGTAGTGCTGCATTTCCACAAAGTTGTGAGATTTGCAAGCAACAAAGAATTGTCAAAATTGATGCAGCAGAAGAAAAATGTAAGTTTGATCCTATGTTTCCTACATTCATTCTCAATACCATCTTTCATTAGTTTTCTCCTGCCTGGACACCCATGTCTTTCAACCTTCATTCCTCAGTTTCTGTAGTCTCCAAGCCCTGAGTTATACCTGGAATCCCTTCAAATTTAGAACAAGAACTGCTTTAAAAAAAATGCCCTGCCGAATATTTTGCTCTGAAAAGGTCTTCAAATACGTCTGTAAAGAAATGCCCTAAATCCTATCTTCCTATCTTCCATTTGTGTTTGTTTTAGTCTGATTTTGCATTCCTTTCTGTAAAAAGCATTACAATCTAACCAACCAATGAAGGGCAACCCCCAGCACCCCCTCCCTAAGGCGATAAGCCAATCAAAACTGGGCATGTGTTCAGGTCTGGAATGCATTGAATTGCGGGAAGAGGAAATTTTCTGAAAACTACTTTTTGTGTGTTTTGATTCCGGCCGGCTTGAATTCCTCCGTTTATACAACTGAACGCATATTTTTGAGGACAGCCCGATATCAGAGGAGGCAGAGAGCAAAGCTATAGCTCCACACCCCTACAACACTGTTTATCTTATCAGTATGGTATTACTTGTAGATTTCAAACACCTCCTTTTCTCCCAAACAAAACTCTTTTTTTCTACACCCACAACCCTGCCTCTGTGGGGAATTTCTAAAAGGTTTTGGGACTCCACATGCACCCCTGGAGAGTTTAGAAAAGCCCAGACCGTGGGTTTAACGAACGCAGCCCAAACATTTGGTTTGGAGACATGTAGGCCGATCAGAGTGATAAACAACCACACACAGAGAGAGAGAGAGGGAGTACGTGCTGGGTGGAGTAGCTCTCTCAGTTAACTGCTCTAAATTTCATCAGTCTGACTGTGTGTGTGTGTGTTCTGCCACTACTGACCTGTTGAACCAATTTCACATTGAACTTGATTGGTCCTTGAATTTAAGGCTGGCAGACAAAGGAGGGGGTCTGTCTGTTGTCATGGCTACAGTAGGAAAGGGTGGGAGGGCTGTTGCTTAATGAGGGGAAATGTGTATGTCTTCATTTATTTCTAAGAGAAACACAACTTATCAGTACATGTGTCTTTATTTAAAAAGACACAATACCGAAATCTTGAAAATTAGAACAAAACTTTTTCTATAGCAAACGCTGTATAGTTACAGTACAAATCAAACACAAAATATGCATGTCATTTGCATCTCCTTCATTTCTCTCATCCCCTCTGCAACACAGAGCATGGTTGGACACGTTAATGTCAATTTGTTTCATTTCAAAGTTACAAAGCCGTTGATGTTAACTTAATGTAACTGAGCTAAGCCAGACACCCATGAAACCAGCTAGTTAAGCAGTCCCTTTGACTCTGTGTTGTGTTGGGTGGAGGAATGATGAGCGGGAGGCCTGTGTCTATTTCTGTGCTGCCATTGTCTGGACAGGAACACTCACACAGTGGAGCCCACTGTATGAGTGTTCCTGTCCAGACCACGGACAGTCAGACTCAGAAAACTTTAAAAAATCAAGTTATCAGCACATCCGCTACTAGCTTGGTTGCCAAGTAAATGGTAAATGGACTGCACTTATATAGTGCATTTAGTCTTTTAACGCTTTACACTACATGTCACATTCACCCATTCATCCCATTGCAAGGTGCCAACTGCTCACCAGAAACTAATCCCATTCAAACACAGCAATCATGCATCGGCAGCAATGAATTTTGGGTTCAGTATCTTGCCCAAGGACCCTTTGATATGCAGAGGGAGGAGCCAGGGATCGAACTACCGAACTTTGATTGGTGGACCGCCCGCTATACCTCCTGAGCCACAGTACCTGGCATTCTCTGGTGGTTTCCCATCCAAGAACTAACAGGACTCGACCCTGCTTAGCTTTCCAATCGGACGATCTAGCGCGTTCAGGGTGGTGTGGCCGTAAGCCAAGTGCAGCTGTTTCACATTATAAGACCAGTTTAGCATTGTAAAGTATATTATGTTCATGTGTTAAGCTTTAACATTTCAGTAAGTCACAATGCTAGCATGTTCATACTGAGGACATAATGAATTAGCTCCTTTTGTGTGGAATTATACAATACAACTTACCTCAGGCATTTCTTTCATGAACTGGCAGCATTTACCTACTGAGACAGAGCCACTAAACCTACTCTATGGGATATATGGCAGGTGGAATCACACACTATCCAGACTCTGTTACACAAACACAACCCCGTCAGTAAGAAAGCAGGACTCGGATTCAACATTCAGCCCTGGACCCAACTACAGCAGTGCCCAACCACAGCATGTCCAGGTATACACACAGAGGCAGACAACACAAAATCTCACATCAGGTGGTTTGTGGCTTTAAAGATTTTGCAACATCAGCTAAACGGTTTCATAGGTGGAATGACAAATGATGCGCTGTCTCTCCTAAGAGCTTAACGGCCTTTGTTTTATAAGAACTCAAGGCAGTAAAGCCGCTTTCAGTGTGTTTGTGTGGCGATGCTCTAGGAGGAGCAAGCTGCCTCAAGTAAATCCCCCTTTCCTCTCTTTCAGCACAAAGAAAACTCACAAACATCTTTCCACATGGGAAAGGCTTCAGTCGCATCTGAACTACAAAGTGCCTCTCGGCTTATTCAGCAGCACACACAGTCTCTGATCAGTCTGTTGACCTAACCTAACAAGCACCCAGGGGGGATATCGAAAAAAACCAAAAAAACCAAAAAAAAAACCTTGGGTGCAGCAGTTAGTGAGACCAACTTCCAACCAGACAATCAAAAGTTTGGACCAATGAAAGTGTCCTTAGTTAAGGCCCTGAAACAAAAAAAAATACTTGGAATTGCACTTCAGATGAGGCACAAACTTTACCAGGCCTCCTTTTTATTTGCGAGGGATAGAGTGAGGTATGGATTAGTTTTAAAATATGGAAGAGTAGGGGAATCCCAGGAGATATTTGAAATAAAGGTCCATTGTCATAATGGGTTTTACTGGCAGGAAAAGACAATAGAAGAGTATCAGCTTATGGGATGATACATAGGTTGACATGGACACAAAAGGGGTGCACACATTCACACTCACAGCCTGTAATGTCATATCCCTTTACATGCTGAAGGTCAGAAACAGAATAGCATGCACTGTAATCGAAAACCACAGTATATAAAGGTGTCGGGTTGAGGCAGATGAGACCACAAATTAACACACTTTAATGTCCAGCTGATCTCAGGACAAAACATAAGTAATATAAGTGGCCATTGTGGAAGAACCTCAGCATGTATTTGTCTACTGTCAGTTACACATTATTACAACCAGACCCTTACTGAGAGCTCGGACTGTCATTGTTTTTATTTTAAAGAAAATACTAAACATGCTTTTTTAAGTCTTCTCTTGTTAAAGTGAATATATTTTATGACCGTTAGTAAAAATAATACATTTGAGGGCATTTGTCATTAATTTTGACTTCTTCAAGACAAAATGACTAATCAGTTACTTAAAGAAATAATGGACTAATCCATAATCAAGATAATCATCAGCTGCAGCCAGAGTTATTTGAATTAACTTAAAATCCCATTAACACTTTCATACAGACTTTGTTTTGTTCCAAAATCCATTTGAAAAGTGCAATTCCTAATCCGATAAACAAGCACTGGCACGAAACTAAAACTAAATATGAAAAAAAAAAAAAAAAAAAAAAACTTACTTTTTTTTAATATTAAATCTTAAGCAACAGGCAGCAACTCCCTCTCACGATGGATGAGTTTAGAATAAAATGCTTCAGTCTTTAAGTTCTTTGGAATGATCCTTTCACTGCCACAGAGTGTAAGAGTAAATTTCTCACGATGTGCCGCTGACCGCATGTTGTCCCTGCTGTTCCTGCTCTTAATGGCTGCTCAGTTTTCTTAAAAGGCTTTTCCCACCATTAGCAAACAGGGGTGTTTCACTGTCTCAGATGAAACTTTACCCAGGCAGTCACCAGAACTCAGAACTCACACCCTGACTGCACTTCCTCATTCACATTTCACCCTTTCTTCCCCAAACGTGCTGCATGAGTTATTTTGGAAACTAGTCTGAAGTGTCATGCTCTGTGTGTAACTCTACGGTTACATTTACATAATCCACCAAAAAATACTCTTCAGCCTGCACTGTACACCTGCTGGCTCTTTTGTTGTGTCTCCTGTGGAGACACAACAATGTCATTCTGTCACTGGTGCTCTCTTATCTTTTGTCCCTTCAGCAGGCAGAACTGTAATAAATATTGCCTCTTCTCTAATGACAACAGTTTTCCTTTCACTGTCAAAACCTTTCAGTTGTG